GGTTTCATTACTAGCAATATTAATAATATCTTTATCACAAACAATAATAAGATCACCTATAGTAGTGGAGTTAACACAGTCATCATTATCACCGTTGCCTTTCTTTTCTTGCTTGCTTGCTTTATCAGCTTTATTCTCCTTCTTCCACTTAAAACAATATTTCTTAATGTGTCATGTTTTACCACAATAATGACATTCAAGATTTTTATCCCTTGACCTTGATTTGCTTCTACTTTTGCATTTGCTATGCATGACCCTAACCCTTGCTTTTACTACCCCCCCTATTTTCAGTGACCAACACCTCTAACTGCAATAAGGAATCTTGAGACTTTCTTCTCATCTCTTCATTTAAGACACCTCTCTTAGCAACATCAAAGGAAATAACACCATTAAGAGCTGAATTAGTAAGGTGAGACCCGAAAAGTCTCCCAATAATCAAGTAGAGTATTAACCAATCAAAGTCCAAGAATCTCATCATCAAATTTGATATCCATATTAAATAACTGATTCTACAGTTCCTTGAAACTCATTCAAATGATTAGCAACAGAACTATCTTCTTTATAATTCAACTGCATCATTTTCTTCAATAAATAGAGTTTGTTATTACCACTCTTTAAAGCATACAAGAATTCCAACTTATTCCATAATGTTCTAGCATGCTTTTCATTGCAAACATAATTAAAAACATTATTATCAACAAATTGTCGAATAAACCCACATATTTGCTCATGCTCAAAATTTCATTCTTCATCACTTTAGATTCTAGCTTTTGAGTAGCAAATATAGGTAAATGTAGTGACTTCACAAATAGAAGGTCTTTCATCTTACTTTTTTAGAAGTGATAATTTGTGCCATTCAAGCAAATCATTCTACTTGTATTAACTTCCATCTTTTGCTCAAGACAACCAATTCAAGTAACCAAGCTCTGATACCAGTTTGATGGGATTCGTAATGAGTATCTATAAGTAATTCACAACCAACAATTATGGTCAATCTAAAATGCACAAAATAATCACACAAGGCACAACAATTTTAACGTGGAAAACTCCTTCAATGTGAAGGATAAAATAATGGGACCTCTCTCCGGTCCAAAGAAAAAAGCTCCACTATCAAAATATTAATATTTACAGCACTTACAATCTGGCACAAATAATCCACAACCAAAATCTCAATCACACTTCAAAAATATTTAAGAGATAATAAGGTTCTGAAAGATAACACCAAGGGCAGTTGCTGTCAATACAATCTGAGCACCTTCCAGTTGTCCAAATACAATCTTCACTGTTCAAATCAAAGAACGACAAGTATACAACGTGCTCTCCAAAAATCAGCTCAACTGGACCACAATTGACCTTCCGATCTACAACGACAATGAAACCGATTTTCTGACAAAGCACCTGATAACATATTACATTCAAGCAGTCTAAAACCAATGATTCCGACCACTAAATCAGATCTCCACCGTTCCGAATCAACAACCACAAGTGAAGAACATTCACTCCAAATTTGATCTCGATCTAACGGTGAACAAACTCGAGAATGGCAAAAGAGTGAACTGAAACAAAAGAATTTTCAGAAGAAACCTAGAAAACAACTTCTGTAAATTACCCAAAACCTGATGATTCCGACGTCCAAACAAGATCTCCACCGTTCAGATTGAAGAACAAAGGATAGATAACATCCAGTCCAAATTTGAGATCAATCCAACCGGAGATGAATTCATAATGTAGAATTACTGAGCTGATGAATTCTCTATATGGCATTCAACTGTGCCTCATTCACTCTCCTGGTAGGCTACAGCCCTCCCTCAAAACCTAGACACACAAAAAACATAATATATATGGCAAAAGGTTTGAAACCTTAGTGGGACTCAACAAATTTATTATTATTATTATTATTATTCCCTTTCACATAGGAGGGAACCCAACATCTTATTCCAATCTTAAATAGTTCATTTGTTTATCCTCAAGTTTTGCACGAACCCTTGAGAGTTGATGATTGGTTTTTCTTGTAGAATTTAGTGTATCCGTTATACCTTTGTACCGTGGTTTTTCGTCTTTGTACGAGGGTTTTGAACTTCATATGTGCTTGAGTTTACTCTCTACTCTTGTTATTACTTCTATTGGTAGGTATTGTTAATTTGTTGCTTTGATTCATATATTCAATTAAACACAAAGGTAAAGCACTCTGTTTTATGTGGAGAATTTTATTTACTGCAAATAAGTCATTCCATTGATTGTAAGAGGATGACAATAGACAAACAGGGCCATATGAAACTTCATTGGGGCAATACTACAAATATGATTGGGCCAATACCTTAACCACTAACAAAATTCAAATTAATTTGCAGTGAATTTCAACCATCAGCACGGGTATCAACAACCAATTTTAAGATCCTTCTTTCGATCAAACCAACATGTCAAATCTGCTCTGTTCTTCTCATTTGAAGTCTTTGTCCATGTCTTCATATTCGTCCTCTATCTTCAACGATTCCTCTGGCTCCGTCTTCTCCTCATTTTGCTCTCCTAATGACACCCAGAAGGAAGCATGTTGGTCCACTTCATAAGACGTACATATGAATGCTACTCCGTGTACGCCAGTCCTGCATTAGAGAGACTGAGAGAGAGGGGGAAGGATAGAGAGAGACAAACTCCTGAGAATTTCAGTGGCACAAAGATTGGAGCCGACAGTTGGCCACTGGGGAGGTGATGTTGGAGGCGATTGCGGCAGAAGGGGTGACTTAGAGACTCGTCTTCGTCTGCATTGGTTGACATGGCTGCTCTTGTAGGGGTTGTTGATGCATGGTAGGAAAGCAGCAGAACAAAGCACTGCGTCAACTTCTTGTATGTCGTTGAAAGGCGCACAGCAACGTCTAGATGAATTAGACATTAGGGGTTTGTTTGGGAATTAGGGCAAAATGTTTGTCTTTGTATTTCCAAAAAGAAACATTTTTTACCCTATTGCTGATAAGAAATGCATGAAATCCATAGGCAAATTTATATTAATATTAATAATTTTTTATTAAATTAGGTATTTTGAAAATTATTTATCAAAATATGTTTTTTATTGCTCTTATTGAGAAATGGGCAAGAGAAATCAATTTCAGAAGGGAAATCATCACGTCATAAGAATTTGATTTTTGACCCAATTTCTCTTCTGAAATTAGTTCATCTGGACTCGATTTTTAACTTAGGCTTCCAATTGCAGCCCCTCGGCCACAACAAGAAAGAGGGAAGGGGAGAAGGAAGGGCCAACCGCAAGCTACAACAATGGCATCACCAATCATGGCGGGCCAAGCGACACCCAACGTAATCCCACATGCATAGATCTAGATGGCGAAAGAGCTTCTAGAGTTCCTATTGTAGAGCTCTCCTGGGAAAATGGGAGCTCTATCCAGTAAGCTCTGTTGCAAAGCTTTTGTCGTCCGTTAGGAGTTTTATCCAGAGCTCTAAATGAATCTCTATTCAATAGAGCTCCTTTTGGATAGAGCTTTGAGGGAACTCTGCCCGATTTCAGTAAGAAAATCATGTCCCCAATGTATGAGTTTTTGGAAGAAATTGGGTCGTAGGACCTGAAATTTTTTTACTAAAATTAAATCTTTTTGACGTGATTTTTTCCTAGATTTGCGTCCTGAGATCTCCATTTCTCAAATTAAACGGTAAAACAACAATTTTGGTAAATAATTTTTCAAAAAAAATACTTCGATTAAAAAAATGAATATCAATATAAAATTTCCAAATCCATACGGTTGTAATTTTTTTGTGTGCCACATCAGAAATTTTTTTTCCGGATGGCAACGGGTCAAGCTTTAAATAGTCCGAAATCGGAATGAATTTGTCAAAATATAAAGAGGTTGGAATAAAATTATCATATTTTAAAAATCAAAGTAAAATGGTTACATTTTTTAACATGTGAAAACAAATTTGTCATTTTTGCCAATTGATTATTTCTGTCATAAAATGGTTAGACATTGATTTAACTGCAGTTACTTTTAGGTTTCTAATAAGTCCTAATTGTTCCTAATTTTTCATATTATTTTATTAAGTTTTAGGAATTATTGGCTCAAATTGATAATTTTGGTAATGATTTTGCGCAAATATTTTTTTTGATTATTTTGTGGATTTTGGGGAATTACTGATTAACTTTGTGTAATCATTGCAGAATTATTGGTAAGAAGATGAATTTTGGCTCATATGTGCAATTCACATAATGAATTAAAAGAGTCAAGGGGTAAAAAAAAGAAATTTGCTCCAGAGATCTTGGTCACCTGGCGGGCTTTGACTTGGGGAATGCTGACCGGATTTGAGATTTTTTTTTTTTTTTTTTTTAAGTAGTATAAGAGGGGGGGGGGGGGGGGGGGGGGGGAAAGAAGGTTTATGCATGGAACCCCAGGGAAAACTCATGGACGGCAGCAGTTTTGGAGGAGAAAAACTCTTGGTAGATTTTCTCAAGTTGTTGCTGGATTTCTCAGTTTTCAATTTTGTTGCGTTATTAATGGTTATTTCACTTAAAATAATTAATTATTATATCATTTTTTCGGGAATTTAGGCTGCTCTTACAGCAAGATGGAAACAAGAAATTATCCCCCGAGTCCAGGCTATGATCGCATAAATCGAAACTTCAATAGATCCAATCGTGACTTGATTTCTTCGCGGGATAGCGCAGTTTAATATTTTGAGAATATGTTAGAATAGGCAATAATATGATCAAAAATTGAAATCCAAAAAGATAAAGCTGCATGAAGCAAACAAGATTATTTTCGAATTCAAAATGCAAATATGCATGCAAAAGCTTCCCATGCACAAACTATATACAAACACTGCGATGGAACGCCATCAAAAAAAGGATCAAAAGAGCAAACGCATAAACTTCGTTACTCTTGGAATCATTTTAACAGGAAAAATAATAATAATAATAATAATAATAATAAAAAACACTTTAGCTGTAGCTTAAATTTTAATTAAGCCGGAGCAACTGGCTCGGAATTTTGATTATTTACTGCAACGCCTTTGTCAACTGACTTGGTCCCTTCTTCAATCTTCCTCCACCGCCCTTCCATCTCCTTGGCCGTGTCATACGACGCGTGCAGCCCAAACAAGAAGTAGTAAACCAAAAGAAGCCCCGTCCAAACACCGAACCGTGCAAACGAGGCCCTGTCTATCGAACCCAGAAGAAAAATGTTGATGGCTATAGACAATGACGGCAGCCACGGCACCAGTGGGACTCCCAGAGCTTGGCCTCGCGTGCATGAGGCACGAACAATCTAAGCCCTAAGGTTGCCAGGAACCAAATCGGCCCCGTTATGCAGTATAAGATCCAGCCGTCGCTTAAAGCCCAGTAAATCGCGGTGGTGATGGAGGACCCGAGGATGAGAAGGAGAAAAACGACAAGTTTGGTCCGGTTACCGGAGGTGGTGACGCCAGCTAAATAGTAACGGCGGACGAGGAGGGCGAGGGCGACCAGCATGAAGATGAACAGGGTGGAGATGGAAAGGAGATTGGAGAGAATGTCGAGCTCAGTGAAGAAGGCGATTATGCCGGTGGCGGCCATCATGGTAACCGTGGCGTTGATCGGGGTGCCGGTCTTCTGGTCCACATGAGCGAACCACGGAGGCATCATATGGGTCCGGGCGATGTGGGTCAGGTACCGTGCCTGACCCACAGCTCCGACGAGGAGGACCGAGGTCATGCCCTTGAGTGCTCCAGCGGCGACAATGTACTTAGCCCAGTTCCACCCCACGGCTTGGAAGGCTACCGAGAATGGAGCGTCCACGTCTACGTTCCTGCAGAAAGTAGGCAGCAAATATTTAGGACTCTGAGAGTATAATTTGAGAACCAAAAAAGAAAAAAAAATCAATCAAACCAGACTATTCTATCCCGTTTCGGTAATTTGATTTTCAGAATTTATTTTTTGTGTTTCAATAATTAAAATTTTGAATTTGTATACCTAATTCAATTTCAATTTTACAAAATATTATAACACTTCTAAATCGAAAATTTTCTCTGAAGAACCAAACCAAGCTTGGTAAAAAAATATATAATATACATCACATATATATTGAAAATATTAACTTTTAATTCACAATTTAAATAAAACTAGAACCGACCTGTAGTCTTGCATGAGGCAGAGAGTCACGGCCAACAAGCAGTACACAGTGGTGGTGATGACCATAGATCCGACGAGACAATGGGAATGTCACGGGCAGGGTTCTTAGTCTCCTCGGCCATGGTGGAGACAGCGTCAAACCCTACGTAAGCAAAGAACAAAACAGCAGCAGCCTGGAAGATGCCACGTGGGCCGAAGGGGAAAAGTCGGAATAGTTCTTTGTGTCGGCCTTGGTTAGGCCGGCGATCATGATGAAAAGGATGACGACAATGTGGACGATGGAGGCCACGTAGTTGAGGCGAGAGGAGCCCTTCGTGCTGACGACGGCGATGATGCAGATGATGATGACGACGCCGACCGCGATGGGATCAAGGTGGTTGTAATCCTGGGCCAGGTGGTGGGCGTAAATGCGGAAGTCGTTGGGCTTGTGGTTGCAGAGGGTGGCGAAGTAGGAGGTCCATGATCGGGCCACTGCGGCGCCCCAATCACGTACTCGAGGAGGATATTGCCGGCGGCAATGAAAGCGACAAAGTCTCCGAGCTCCACTCTCAGGTATGCGAAAGAACCACCTGCGATTGATTATACAAAGAATATGTAATTGTGTGTCAGTGTCAGATTACCCATTGATATATTTTTATTTTTATATTTTTTGCTCGCTAAACTAAAGAAATTCATGTAATGTTTAGAGTTTATTTGAACAGAAAAAGTGTGAAAAATAATATGATTTATCAAGTTTGATGAGTAAAGGGGAAAAACAAAAAGGAAAACGATTTGATACTTCTAATTATTTTGTATGCGTAATAATTGAAAAATAAATATTGATTTTATTTTCTAATTATTTTTATGGATAATAATTGAGAAATAAAAATAATTTTTAAATTGCACTCTTATTTTAAAAATTATTAACAGGTCAAAAATTTTTCTCACCAAAAATTCATTTTTTACAGGAAAATAAATTTTCATTTTAAAAATTCTATTTTTAATCTATTATTATTGTCGTTTACCACTTTTATTATTAAAATATAATAATTTCACTTTTTTATATTTCTAAAAACCGTGCAGGGCCTACAACTCCAGGTCAAACAAGCGCCAAATTCACATATCACACTCAGCCAATGCAAAGCCAGAAGAAGACGTGAACAACTAGGAAGAGTGAAATCAATTTACATTTTTTTCTAACAAAAATTATCTGTATGATTGTTTTCATTAAATAATCATAGTTTTTGGGACGGATGTCCGATTCCTTGCATAAGCACCGTTGAGTTAATAGTCAATTATAGTTGAAATGCAAATCGCCTGTTTTGTTCTCGCCCGAGTAAAGAAAAAAATAAATAAATTTACAAGATAGGTTCTCAGTTTTCAAACTTTCAGACTTGGGATAGGATTGAAAAACCTTGCTGTTTATCATTCCTTCCGCTCTGGTTTTAGATCGGAGAGGGAAGACTTAAAAGGCTTTCTCTACCCTAAATCTGGAGTAGAATATTGTTTCTCACAGGAGTCATATAAATTATAATTATTTGTGCTTTTAAAATTTTGACAAAAATCAGAAAAAGAAAAAATAAACTTTTGATTAATAGAATACCACAGCATGGAAAATATAATTCCTTTACATATGCACACAGAATATGTTTAGTTTTTTTCATTGGTTTCTTATTTGTAAAAGGAATGTATATAGCGGGTGAGTATGTATTTTATTTTTTAATCGGGATTTATCAGAAAAATAATTCAGATCCAGCGAGTGCGTACCAGCAACGGGAATCTCGACAGCGAACTCAGTGTAGCAAAAAACCGAAAGCATGGCGGAGACGCCGGAGACGACGTAGGAGAGCACAACAGCGGGCCCGGCGTGGTTCCTGGCCTCGAGGCCAGTGAGCACAAATATTCCGGCACCGATGACGGCGCCCATGCCGAACCAGATAAGATCCCACCATGTGAGCGTCTTCTTCATCTCGTGCTGACTCCGAGCCTTGACCTCTAACGGCGGCCGAATCGAGGGACCGGCTAGTGACACGGTCCATGAGCCTCGAAGGAGTCTCCTTTAGGGCTTGAACGTAGTTTCCCCAGCTCTGGAAAGACTGCTCTGGTAGAAAATCATCCTTGGTGCACGAACATCTCCTTTTCCTAATTCCTGCTCTTTCATCATTGGCAACTCTCATCTCTGTTTTCAGATAAAGTTGCTGACAGTCAGGGTCCGTTCCGTTCTCAGGAAAATATAAGAAAAATTAGTTGAATTAAGTAGACTGTCTATTAAGATTTGAACTACCATGAAACAGGGGAGCGAGGAAGAATGGGAAAAGAAACATAAGTTTGAAAATTAGATGTCAAAAAATTCGAGATACAGCTCGAAAACAAACTTCAGGTAATTACTTGGAGTAATCACGTCGAACACAATAATAACTCGGGGGATCCAAACAGAGTTGGATTTTCTCGGTTAAATCTTCCGTGGTACGTTCAATTGAACAAGCCAATCGGAGATCAGAATAATGCTCCTCCGTCGAACAAGGCCTTTCTAGGCATAAGATCAATGATACTAGGCAGTAAATAACAGAATTTACAGGGGAATGCTAATATATGTTCTTCGAATTTTTAGAATGTTTTCGAAACAGAGTGATGAAAAATACCTCGAGATTCGAGAAAATTCAACCAAAAGCTTGGGGGAAATTCGAAAATGATCAAAACAATCAAAGTGAAAACAGAATATGCAAGTCCGAAAATAAATCGAGACAGAGCTAAAAACACTCTGTCGGGCTCATGGACCTAATATATACAATGTCGATGGACACAAAGCCACTTGTGCAAATACAAATGGCGATAAGAACTATATTAACAAAAGCATAAACTATGTATTAAATAATATTTTGTTCAATTATCAACCAACTCGTCACGGAACCACTAGTAAGACAACGACGACAACTTGTATTTGATTGAAAATACATCTCGGCCCAGCCGCAGTGTTACGAGAACGACAAATAGGTCCAGATCCACAACTCAAATATTAGCTTTTTACTTATCAAAATTTATTTTTTAAAAAAGGAAAAGGCCAAAGATTCACACACACACACATTTTAAAGATAGAGAGGACCTGTCGGGAAAGAGGTAAACGGAGACCTCGACATTCGGGCAGCGGAGAGAGGCGCCGGCGGTTTCAGATATCACCGCGACTGGCGCAGAAAGAAGAGAGAGAGGAGTATGAATGAGCAAGAGCGTGCCAGAAATTGATTATAGGATATATATAGGCTGGTGAGAAGAGAAAGCTTAGTTGTTTGGATACGAATCGCAATTCAGAGGATTTTGAATCTGCAATCGGCGGCTACGTATGGAAAGTGGAATCTAGAATTAACGGCGTTTAGGGTCTTCGTTTCTGCGGGGCCGAAACATGCGGCCAAAGCCAGAACTCAAAAGAGTGCAAACTAACGGCGCCGTTATCTTCTTGCGGGATGCCAATGTGTGTGAACACATCGTTGCAATATTGAGAGAACTCTGAATTCACACTAAAAATCTAATTGCACATTAGTTGGGAACTCTGAATTTACGCCTAAAATCTGTCACTAGTGACAAGGAAAGCAAGTGAATTGGTTAGCGAAAATGACATTTGTTTCCACTAACTTGTATTTTAATTTATTATTTTCTAAGCAATCACAATTATATTAGTAATTTAAGAGACAAGGTTTTTTCGAATTATCTTTTAAGGATGTTCCAAAATTATTTAGGACTTTTAGCATGTTTAATGGAAAACAATGTTATGTAAATTGAGTAATATATATTTTTGGCTCATACGTTTATATTTTTAATGATTCAAAAATTGGTGATAATTTTACTCCTTTTTCCCATCGCATGTGCTAGGTCACGTGCCTATTAGGCTATTAACTATTAACCTTTTTGTAGTGTTTCACAAAGTATTATATAATTAACGATAAGGTTTAAAAATTTTATTAATAATTATTCTATTCACAAAAGTTATCCGATATTGTTCTAAACTATCAAACCTCACGTAAAATCAGATAACTATGGCTATCTGACCTTTACCAAACACACGAAAGCCTCGCAAGTAATTATGAAAGAAAAGAAAGAAGGCAAAAAAAGGACGTCCAAATTTGCATGCGCCATTGCACCAGCGCGTGGGACCGGCTTTTCAATAGGTAGACGTAACGTAGGGAGCTGCCCTTTTCAGGCCAGCTACGTACCGTTAAGAAAAGAAAAGTTTCCTTTTTTGGAAAAGAAAATAATTTTCTTTATTTCATAGTTGTATGTGTCTAAATTCTAATGACTAATTTTTATGAAATATAAAATTTTTCAAGACATCATCTCACTATTTATATTGAGGTCCTTACTTTTAATTCTTTACATTTATTATTTTCATAATTAAATGTATGAAATTGTAAATCGTCCTGCATAATAATAATAATAAAGATTTAATATAAAAAAAAAAAAACGATTTATAAATTAAAGGCTTATCAATTCTCATAATTGCACATGGATGTGTGAGCTACAGTGTCAGACATTGACAAAAGAAATAAATGTAAACGACAAATGGAAATGGAGAAAATTCAGGTGTTATCAATATGGTAAGCAATGATCAATTGTATGTGTATAATGTACTGTATTCTTAGCCCTCCGATCCATTTGACTTTGGATAATTGATAACTCAAGTGCGTGATCTGTCACCAACCCCCCTGTCCCAGAGTAACGCATCCCACTTGATTTTCTCCCCCACCCCCAAAAACCCAAAAAAAAAAAAAAAAAAGGAAAAAAAAAGTAGGTAGTCCATAATTTTATCAGGAGCGGATGTAAAAATAGAAAAATATGTCACGTCCTTCAATAAAAATATCCATGGGGTGGATTGGGCTAATCCGTATTTGGTACACGTGCGATTAGATATTCTTTAAATCAGCAAAATTATTTCTTTCACCTTATCTCTGTTAAAAAATATTTTTAAAAGAATTTATCTCTTGTTTAGAGATAAAATTGAAATTGGTATACTCAAATCTTATTGCTAAATATTAGGATAATAGCAAATAAAGATACGAAAATTATTTTAATTTTATAAATAAATTTTTAGGTAATATATGTATTTATTAAGAGGGTTTATTATTATATTATTATAATTATTATTTTAAGTAAATATAAATTGATTATATTATATCATGTATTTTTTTTTTTTATCTATTCCCTGTTTCTTTTGTATCGATAAATTATAAATTTTAATTTCTAAGAAATTCACCATTAATCCCAATCATTTTCAATCATCTATGGTATGTTTCATTTAAAATTTTTAATAGTGGATTCAAATTATATGTAGAGTAATCAAAAAGTAATAAAATTATGTAAATTTAAAAAACAAATTAAAATGACTTTGAGAGGGACGGTGTTCAGAGAATCTCCGGAAACTCTTGTATTGAGTTTTGAGTTTGAAAGAAATTAAATGCAAGGCTAGAGATATTAGATTTTATAAAATATATTTTTTTCGATTAAAATTTTCATTCAAATAGTTTCTCAGGTTTCTTTAAACTCAATAATCAGGATTTTATAAAGTCAGGTTTTATAAAATCCCCAATCAAATATGCCAGCCCAACTTAGAAAATTCAAACCACCCTGCTCCTCACGAAATTTACAAAATTACCTTCGATAACACATGTATTATTTAAATTAATTTAACATGTCTAAGTAATTACTCACTGTTTTAAAAAATTGACCATTTTAATTTAGTACTAACAACCGACCAATACAAGCTATATTAAGTTGTTGCCTTTCTTTCCTATCTTTTGATTTTCTTATTTTGCGGGTCAACCCAGAGCTGAAAATCCCTACCCGAGAAGAACCTGGCGTCTGCTTGCCCGTAGCTTTCGCCCTGAGTCGGCTAGATTTTGATGAAATGGACGGTGAAGATTCAATCCTCAGTGAACGGAAAGTCAGAAGAGAGAGGGATTTTTGTCTAACTAGTTAAAAGATCCGACGGAATGCAGAGAGTCAGAGCCAGCTCACTTTTCTTTGGGATCCAACGGACATAGAAGGAATGCATATGGTAGTAGGATATTCTCCTATTCCTGGAAAATGCAAGAAAGAAATTGGCTCATCACGTTTAATTGTTATTATTGCTGAGAACTATTTAGGAATTTCGTACGTACCAGATTCATTAGAACTCTCGACACAAAACAGATGCAAATACAATAAAGTTGTTCTTTCTTTACTTTTCTTTTTTTTTTCCTTTGTGTCACAAAAAATAATGAAGCTTTTGCGTAGCTTTCCTTCAAATTGAAGATGTATCTTTTGTTTAGTTTATTTTACACTACCCTAATGGATAATGTAATATTCTTCCACATTAAAATAAAACTTATATACGTATAATAAAGCATATAACTTATTTTATTATAAGAGAAAACTATATGAACTTCAAGGATAATATTAAATAAAATTATTTATTTTTAATAAATTTTGATGTCATTATTTAAAATGAGTTTTATTATATTAAAATACATAAGAAATGACATTTTAACTTTTAGAAAATAGGGAAAATTACCAATCTAGTTGACTTGGCAACTTTATTTACCCGTAAGGACAGGAGGGGGACGAACGGGTTCGTAGTTCAAATTGATTTGTAAATTATCTAAAATACCTCCGTCCATTCTAACACCTGCAACTGGTTGCCTCCATTGGCGCAACCTCCATCACTCCTCTAGCCTGCATCCTGTCGCCTCCTCCTCCTGCCCACTGCAGATCTCGTAGCCTCCCACCCTGACAAAACCCTCCCCCCCATCAGTTTACAAACCCTCACTGCAGCACCCCACACATGTGAACATCCCACACCACCCTCCTCCCTCCCCCCCCCCCCCCCACCCACCACAGATCCCATAACCCCCACCTCGGGCGAACCTCTCCTGCATGAAACAGTCCCTTCCACTTGCAAAC